TAATCTTTGAAATGGCTAGATGTAATTTCCTTTTTCGCATTTCAATTGTTATCTTATGTTATTTCTTCCTGTTATTGTTATCTCTCACTTAAAGTGTTTTATTTTTATCATATTCACTCACACTCAGCAACACCTTGAGTCTTTGTACCTTTATTGCCTTTGTTGGGGTGAAATGATAACAAAGATTAAGTACTCCTTTCTTTGTTTCTAACGAAATCTTCTTGTTTCTTAATACTTTGCTTAGTTTTTGAAAAGTAGATTTCGCTATCCTAATGCACCTTCGAATTTTAATGTCGCATTTTCCTAGATATTCAAATTGTACTTACTTGATTTTGGTATCGCAAGTTTTTAATTTGCATATTGGTCTGTTCTTTTTGCTGGCAACCATGCATTCTGTCTTCTTGCAATTGATGTTTAGTCCTTTCTTCTCGCTTTCTTTCACTATCTTCTGTCAAAATTATTACAGTTTCCTTTCCGTGTCTGTTATCAGACTAACTGTTGCATATATAAAGTTAAATTTCTTCCTCTGTATGAAATTCCGGTGCATTTATTTGTACATTTGATTTTTTGTGACGCTACAATTAGATAAATCAGGTTTCTCATGCACATTATAAATATATACTTACTACTGCGGGCACCTCGAAGTGGTGTAATGGTTAGCAAGCTTGTCTTGCTAGAACAATTACGACTGAGTAATGAGTTCAATCCTCACTAGGTGCCCCTTACTTTCGGCCTTGTGCCACATCCAAGTTACGCTTGGAAATCACTATATACTTACTACTGAATATAAATATTTATGCTTAGAATTAATTGTGAATTCAATCCCTCGGCCAGCAAGTGTGTACTTGAACTCAATAACTGTGCTTTACTAAAAATAACAACTAGACAAGATGTCCCTAGATATGAGCAGTGGAACAAGAACAGTCTACCCCATAGATTAAATAAAAGGGTTCAGTTCAGAATTCCCTGTAGGTTACCCATACACCTGATGAATTACATCTAAAAAATTTTAAAATTAAGAACATGCGCATCCTCCTACCCATATAACAAGATTAACTTTTACAGGGAGGTTGTCACACCAATGACATCTAGTATTTCCCTAAAATTAAGATTGTGGTCGCCAACAATGAATCCTGGGAGAATTTTTAATTCTGTTAAAATTCGGTGAGAGGACACCCTTTTCGTTTTTCGTTTTTTTATTTACTGAATTCATTTTCTATTTGTGTGCAGGGAATTTGCATATTATTCGAATATTCTAATATCATTCCCAATCATTTCAAGGTTACCTGACAGTTCCAGTATTCAAAAATGTAAAAGATAAGGCGTCGAGATCTCATTAATTTACAGTTGAGTTGGCTAAATGTAACCGTAAATACTATGCTAACAGTTTCTTTTCTTACACTTCCCGCCTGTGTAACTCCCTTCCGGCTCCAAGCTTTCCAGCCAACTTTAATCTTCAAAATTTCAATCGCTATCTACTGTCCTTCTGATTACACTTTCCTCTTTCCGATCATAATTAACGTTTCTGTGCCTAATTCTTCCACACCCTGTAACCCCTTGTGGCTGTACTTGGGGTGATATCGATTTAGCAGAAATGTATAACTATCTATGTCTACCATTCACCCATGCTTGTAATATTGCTACCCCATATGGTCTGGTGCCCCTGCTATTTACCCAGAGCTCCTCGATAAGATCCAATAAAGAATCTGCAATATTATCAGTCCTGATCTGGTGGCTTGGCTTCACTTTCCCACTGCTGTAAGGTTGCCTCTCTGTGTCTTTTCTATAAATACTTTCATGGTAATTGGTCGGATAAACTCTTTGTTATGGTACATAGACTTTTTGAATTTAAACACAGTACTAGACTGTTGTCAAGATCTCAATTTATAGTTGAGCTGGCTAGATGTAGCCATAAATTCTATGCTAATAGTTTCTTTTGTTGCACGTCTCGCTTATGGAACTCCCTCCCGGCTCCATGTTTTCCCGCCAATTTTAATCTCCAAAAATTTAAAGACAATGTCAATTGCTGTATACTGTCCTCCAGATTACTCTTTCCTCTTCTCGCTTATTATTAACGTTTCTGTGCCGACTTCTTCCACACCCTGTAACCCCTTGTATCTTAGTGCCTTGCATGAGGTGATATCGATTAAAAATGTTATGATCTTCAAAAGATTATTAAACTGTCCATATTTGATTTGTCAATTACATTTGTTAGCATTTATGTCTGAAGTGGATGATTTTCTTCGAAATATCTTTCTCTCGCATGTGTCGTTAAATTGAAAAAAAAAGCGACAAGGGACGTCATTGCATTTGAAACGAAAAAGTAATGATACGAGACACGATTGCTGCAATAATGACAGCAGTTAATTTTTGTAAATTCATTTAATTACTTAGAGATGACAACACCGATTTTTTTTCTGGTAGCGATAATACAATGTATACAATCATATTACGTGAACAAAAGAAGGAATTGGCACATGTGATAAAAGAGAAATATCTTTGATTTTCTCTTGCAATGTGATCGAAGGAAATTAGCGTAATAAGAAGGGCGTCATATAATTACTAACATGACGTGACCAAAGGCTTGTTTAATCAAATGCATATTATTGAAGGTAGATAACGCAAGCAGATTGGTGCAATATGTTCCCTTAAATAATTTGACGAAGGAAGCGTGGCTTGTCTAATGAAAAGGAGATACATTTCATATTAAAATAGACATTTTTTAGGTAAAAAAACTCGACAAGAAAGATGTAATATATTAATGGAAGAAACCTTGACCAATTTAATGATGAAGGATGTCTTTATATTAAAAGAGTGTGATTAAAAGTATATAACGAACAGAATCCCGTAATATATTAACGTACATTATTGAACCAAAAAGATCATGGCTTGTATAATCACAAAGACATGTCTTTGATATTAGAATAGTGTGATTGAAAGTAAATATCACAAGAAGGATATCACATGATTTGACCAAAGAAAGCATGCATCGTTTAATCAAGAGGATATGCCTTTGATGTGAGAATAGTGTGATTGAAAGTAGATATCACAAGAAGGATATTACATGATTTGACCAAAGAAAGCATGCCTCGTTTAATCAAGAGCACATGCCTTTGATATGAGAATAGTGTGATTTAAACTAGATATCACAAGAAGGATATCACATGATTTGACCAAAGAAAGCATGCCTCGTTTAATCAAGAGGATACGTCACTCATATTAGAATATAAGGTAAACAAAAAAGTCCTTGCCGTTTTTTACGTTGTGATCACTGACACACAAATAAATGTGTCACGTGACAGGAAAGCGGTGTGTGTGTGTGTGTGTGTGTTTGTGGTGGTATTGCTCTTGACCAATACATTTTTGTTGGGCACTCGCATCAGTCATAGTTCGAGCAGCGGCGAGGAAACTTGAAGTCAGCCATAAAGGAGGACAATAGCCAAACCTGTGGTGAGCTTCCTGTTTTCTGATGAAACAGTCAGATGACACCTGCACTTCTTCGGGAAAGGCGTACAAATTGAGCAATTGGGCACCCCACACACTGTCGCAAGCCAACAAGTAACAACCTGTGACAGCGTATTTCTCGTTGTTTACTCGTCACTGCAACGCACCCATATTTGATCGAGTGCTCACCAGTGACAAAAAGTACGTCCTGTATGACAATCCCAAGCGTGCCAGACATTGGTTGACACCACGGGAACCTGTGCATCACACCACAAGACCACCTTTCGACTGATTGACAAGTTGTGCACTATGAGTTGCCAACAACGGTTCAAACCATCACTGTGTACCTATACTCGCAACCGTTGGAAAATGTGCGAGAGGCATTGAAGTAGAAGGTGCCAGCATTTGCTAATCGCAAGGGTTTATTATTTCTTCATGACAATGCCAGAACACATGCGGCGTGGGTGGTCAGGTATACTGTACGGCGATTTAGCTGCTAGACATTGTGCCATCCACCCTACTCCTAGGACCAACAGATTGGTTACCTTCGTTGGAAATCTTCCGAAAATGAGGCTGACTTGCAGCAGGAACTAGAAGAATTCTTTGCGCCAAGACATCTGATTTTTACAGCCAGCGTATTGCGAAGCTGGCGGCACTTTGACAAAAATGTTCTGGGTGCTGATGGAGATTACACTGAGGACTCAAATTTGACGTAAACATTTACTTTCTAATAAATAAAAAAGCGGCAAGGACTTTTTGGTTACCTTGTAGCGTGGTTTAAGGAAGATAACACGACTAGAAGGATATAACATATACAGTTATTTAATATATTTTCTGTTTATACGTTATTTTTATAGATAAAATTTATTTAAGTAAATGCCCTGTTTTTTAATTAAACAGTATTAATTACATTTAACTGCCTGAATATTCGAGAAATTTCGTAGAAAATGTGCGTTCCCCGACAGGAATGGAACCTGTATTCCTCTACGAAAACCGTCATTCAATCTGACGTGCTAAACCATTTAGCTCTTCGACGATTTTTCTCGATCGATCATAACTGATCATGAAACGTATTTTAATGTAAAAACAACATATAATGAAATGGATTAAGTCCGGCAATTATTTAATATATTTTCTGTTTATACGTTATTTTTTTTTTATAGATAAACAGAAGCAAATATGTTTTGTATCTATAAAAATAACGTATAGACAGAAAATATATTAAATAATTGTCGGACTTAAACCATTTCATTATATATTCAGTTATATAATTTGATTAAAGAAGGTCAAACGGTGACGGTCATATTAAGTCAGATAGACTGAAGGAATGTAACGTGGCACGAGTGATATATTCAGTTACATGATGTGATCAAAGAAATTTATGGTTATGAGGAGAATATTTGTTAAAAGAAGACAACGTATCGCAATGAAATTACACGTTTTCAGGTGCAAGGAATGCATATATATAAGCAGGAAAACATTAGTCAAGCATTCATGAGGGACATTTATTCACTGTCACTCTAGCACCCAGCGCTGAATTTGGTGTTCTTGCCGCAATGAAAGTGGTCAGATGATTTTAAAGCAGGAACTCAAGCGCTGTCAATCGCAGAACAACCACATGAATTGTGTTTTTATTCTGTAATCGCGATGATCATAGATCAGTACCCAAAATGCGCGGCCATCAAATTTGTCTTATTATCTACGCTTTCTTAGGTTATGTTTTTTCTTTTATGAAATCATTTCACCTCAAGCAAAGCAATAAAGCCACTAGGACATAAGGAGTTACTGAGTGTGAGAGAATACGAGAAAAAGAAAACATTATTAAAAAGAGGGAATAATAAAAGGACAGCAATAAAGAAGGCAGATGATGACGATGGACATTGCCTTTAACTTTTTAAAGATAAAATTTGTTTGGGAAGCCAGAAGCCGAAAGAGAGCTTACACAGGCGAGAAGTGTAAGAGAAGAAACTTTTAGCACAAAACATACAGATACTTCTAGCCATCTTTACTATAGAATGAAGAGACCTTGCCACTAATTTCTTTTTTATAATACAAACAAGAATATATATTAAAATTATTAGACTATGTTTCAGTCTTCAATCTGGTATTCGTATTACGCTTAAATTCATAACATCTACGTACCATAGAGGAAAAAATCGTAGAGAATCCACGGTGAAAAAAATACTGAAGTCGAGATGCCAGGTAAGGACCAATAACATTGCAGATTCTACTTTGGGTTTCATCAAGAATCTCTAAATACATAACAGAAGCACCAGACCATCCTTGACAGTAATATTCAATGCATGGACGAATGGAAAACTTATAAATGTGTAATATAGATTCTGGCGAGAAACATTGTCTAGCACAACACAGTGAACCAACTTTCCTAGCTGCAGGCCTAACAAGTGATTCGATATAATATCTCCGCTTCATTTCAACGGAAAAGGTTAACCCTTGAAGTCTCAAAAAGTCACTCTCCTGGATTTTAACATTAGACATGCTGCTGGCAGGTAGAAAGAGGTCTTTCAGGTGATTAATAGAGAGAAGTTTTGTTTTGGAGGTCTTTAAATTAGCAAGCTATTCCTTACATCAATTAACAGCAGATGGAAGGTCATCCTTGAGATCAGCTGCCAATTTTGGCCTTATCGAACAGATCAGACATATTATTAAGACAGGAGTAAATAGCTGTGTTATCAGCATAGATGCCGAGATGAGAACCGATGCCATCAATAATGTTATTGGTGAAAATTAGGAACAAAGTTGTCCCTCACCCCCGGGAGACACATGCATTAATGCAGAAATATGTAGAAGAGTGATCTATCTATCTATCTATCTATCTATCTATCTATCTATCTATCTCTGTTTATATCTATCTATGTCTGTTGCTTTCTATCTATCTATCTATCTATCTATCTATCTATCTATCTATCTATATCTGTTTATATCTATCTATGTCTGTTGCTTTCTATCTATCTATCTATCTATCTATCTATCTATCTATCTATCTATCTATGTCTCTTCATCCATCCATCCATCCATATCTATCTATCTATGTTTCTTTCTCATCCATCTCTTCATCCATCTATCATCCATCCATATCTATCATCCATCTATCTATCTATATCTGTTTATATCTATCTATGTCTGTTGCTCATCTATCTATCCATCTATCTATCCATCTATATATCCATCCATCCACGTCCATCTATCCATCCATCTATCATCCATCTATCATCCATCCATATCTATCACATCCATCATCTATCTATGTCTCTTCATCATCTATCTATTCATCCATCCATCTATCTATCCATCTATCTATATCTATCTGTTTTTATCATCCATATCTATCTATGTCGTTGCTTTCTATCCATTCATCTATCTATCCATCCATCATCTATCTATCTATCTATCTACGTCTGTTTCCATCTATCCATTCATCTATCTATATCTATCTATCCATCTATCTATCTATCTATCTATGTCTCTTCATATTTATCTATTCATCTATCTATCATCCATCTATCATCTATCTATTTATCTATCTATCCATCTATCTATCTATCCATCTATCTATCTATCTATCTACGTCTGTTTCTATCTATCTGTTTATATCCATCTATGTCTGTTGCTATCTATATCTATCTATCTATCTATCTATCTATCTATTTATCTACGTCTGTTTATCTATCTATCTATCTATCTATCTATCTATGTATGTTTTCATCTATCTCTATCATATCTATCTATCTATCTATCTATCTATCTATCTATCTATCTATCTATCTGTTTATATCTATCTATGTCTGTTATCTTTCTATCTCATCTATCTATCTATCTATCTATCTATCTACGTCTGTTAGTCTGTTCATTATCTATATCTATCTGTGTTATCTGTTCATTATCTATCTATCTATCTATCTATCTATCTATCTATCTACTTTTATGATTCCAAATTCTTACCCGTTACGTCAAATTTAATCTGGTGCCTCTCATCCAACGTTCCATTAACCATCAATAATTTTTGTAATCGTTCTGGATAATTGCAATATTCCTTTACCATTTTGGATCCTTGTCTACGCAAGAATTCCTTTATTTACTTCCGATACCTTTTCAGATAATTAACAGTTCTGCAAAGCAGGCTACACAAAACATAAATTACTCTTGGGGGCTATCATAGTCGTGTTATTTTAACAGTTTCGATAGCGACGGCTGTTTATGATTTATAACGACACCCGCGTCTTTTTCTGAAGTTACGATAAATAATATATGTAATCAAAACAAGTTAATCTTACAAAAATTAAAGAGTCTATAAATTATTCTGGTTGTTATGGATATTTCAAATGCTTTCTTTTCAACGATACACATGTGTCCAATTGTTAGTTGACCGAATATCTAATTTTTATATGATCTAATAAGGAACAAAAAAAGATACATTTATAAGTTTAGCTTTTGTTTAGGCTTCATCTGAAAATTTTGTAAATGCGTCATGGAAGAGAAAGTTCTATTTTTTTTTCTATATTTTAATCCCAATTCATAATCCCCCCCTCTCTCTCACAAACACACATGCACGAGGAATTAGCAAGCCGTTATAGAAGTGACCAGCCATCTATAGAGCTATGACTAGAGATATGTAATGTGAGTCTTCTTGATATGCATGTAGTGTTATATTCAATATAATTATTGATGAATTTGGTTTGATCAGTAACGCACCTCCTTAAGGGATATGTAAATTCATAAATAATATCGGTCCTATGTAATTTGTATCTTACAGGTGAGTCATGATATCTATCTATCTATGTAAGTTTGTTCATATCTATCTATCTATCTATCTATGTAAGTTTGTTCATATCTATCTATCTATCTATCTATCTATCTATCTATCTAAGTCTGTTCATATCTATCTATCTATCTATCTATCTATCTATCTATCTATCTATCTATCTATCTATCTATCTAAGTCTGTTCATATCTATCTATGTAAGTCTGTTCATATCTATCTATCTATCTATCTATCTATCTATCTATCTATCTATCTATCTATCTATGTAAGTCTGTTCATATCTATCTATCTATCTATCTATCTATCTATCTATCTATCTATCTATCTATCTATCTATAGGCGTGTGTTATTCATTTCTACCTGACAGAAAATATACGTAATGTTTGACGAACTTGATATTTATAAGGACGGATATCTTTTTGAAGATAAGAAATGAATTTTTGTTGAAGGGGAAGTGCTTTTCTTTAGTTTCCAGAAAGTCACCACCGTAAAGAACATTGCAGATGTCTTCATTGCGAAAGGCATGTTGATAATATAAATGTTTCCCGCCATGTGAAAACGAAATGATAATAATCCTTATGCAAGAGAAAGGTGTTTGTGATTTTGTTGTCAGTAAGTCAGCTGATGTTGAAAAAAGATGCTTCGTCTAATGAAAATAAGCATAAGAAAGGCGACCATGAAAATCCTCTAGAGTCTGTCTGAGATAACTATTGACTTTTTCACACATAACACTCGGTTCGAGAATAGGGTATTTATTCAAACGTCCATTTTGTCTAAAATATGCTACAAGGACGTTTTAAAATTTAAGGCCTCGCGCATGCGTAGGACGAAGTTAAAAAAGAGTCCAGTTCCCAAGGGACATACCATTTATAGGGTTAAAAAAAGACGCCGGTATTAACCCCAACCCTCTTCTGAAAACAGACTAAGTTGTGTCCCCGAGTCTGGAAGTTAACATTTCACATCTTACCACACAAGAAATACAAGCCATTCCGGATACTAGAAATGATTTGTCTTTATGCTTTCCAATGCATTTTAATAATCCGGATGACAAACAGTAGTTACCGTCTCTAGGTACCGGAATATCACAAATGATAGTTATAATAAAGGCAGTAAAACATTAATTGGGCTTCGTCTCCCAGCAACAATGTATATGGAGTCATTTTTGTTGCTCCTCTCTATATTCGCGCTTCCTGTTTTTGATGTTACACTTTCGCCGGAGAAATTATTCACATAAAAATTCAATACGTCAGAACACAATTGTCCTTCAGCTAAAGTAAATGATCCAGAAGAAATGATATTTAGAATTGACATTTCTAATGGAATCATCAATAAAAGAGAGAATATGTGTACTTACTGATGGGACAGTATTTAAATAAAAGCTGTTTGTTTTAAATTACCGATGGTTTTGTTGAGATTGAAATAAGGATGGTATTGGTGCTTGTAAAATATCGATGGTCTTGTTGGTTCTGAAATAAGGAACTGTATTGGTGTTTTCTAAAATATCGATGGTGTTTTTGGTTCTGAAATAAGGATAGTATTGTTGCTTCTAATAATATCGATGGTGTTGTTAGTCCTGGAATAATGATGGTATTGATGTTTCTAAAATGTCAATATTGTTGTTGGGTCTGAAATAAGGATGGTATTGATATTTCTAAAATATCGATTGTCTTGTTGGGACTGAAATAAGGATGGTATTGTTATTTCTAAAAATATCAACGGTTTTTTTTGGGTTTGAAATAAGGATGGTATTGGTGTTTCTAAAATATCGATACTTTTGTTGGTTCTGAAGTAAGCATGGTATTGGTATTTCTAATAATATCGACGGTGTTGTTTCTGGAATAAGGTATATAATGGTATTGCTGTCTCTGAAATATCGATGTTATTGATGGCTTTGAAATAAGTATAGTATTTCCTAAATATCGATGGTGTTGTGAGTTCTAAAATAGATTAAGCGTTATTACAAAATTATAAAATGGTATTGATGATTTGACTAATTAAATTGCTGCTGTTTTCTTTGTTAAGCTTGGCACGAAACTTCGCGATTGCTTTGATTCTTCGAGGTTTATATTGAATCGCTTTAAGTCTCTGTTCTCGATATTTGTTTTGTAAAACATAGATACACATAGAATACAAGGTTTATTTTGTGGTTTGTATTAACGAAAAGAAGCTATATACAGATAGAGAATGTTTGAGAAATTACTCCACCGTGCCTCCTAGTAGGACAGACTGGGTTCTATAGCTTTGGATGGCAACTGGTCTAGGATAAGGATAACTCTGAATTCAAAACCTGTGGAGGGTCGTTTGGGAACCTTGTGGCATTCGGTGCATCAGGTCTCTGTATTCGTCCCTTCAAAAAAGTGTGGATGGTCCTGCACGAAGCTTTCACTACTATAATCAAATCTCATGTGTCGTTGTTGGTCTGTCGGTTTCCTGGGAACTGATCTGCTTGACCCTCATACGTCGAATCTCGACGGGAGAGTCGACTATATATATATATATATATATATATATATATATCGAATGGCGATAGAAATTCGATAAAAATAGGAAAATGAACAAGTAAGAAACAGATCTTAATCTGACATGTTTCACTTTATTAAAGCTTCGTAAGACGAAGCTTTAATAAAGTGAAACATATTAGATTAATATCTTTTTCCTGCTTGTTCCTTTTTCCTATCATATATATATATATATATATATATATATATATATATATATATATATATATATATATATGCGTGTGTCTGTGCCTGTGTGTCTGTGTGTGGATATAGTTCTATATGATAAAATGACTGGTAGTAAATATCTGAACAAAATATAAGATGGAATATTTAAAAAAACAATTAAGTATATCCTGTGAGTGTCAAATTTTCTAAGTCCTCTTTCCTCAATATGTAAAAAAGAAACTTCAACTGCCTCTTTCTGATTTTAGATATAAGTGTTCTTTTTGCTTACATTTTTCCCTACAACTTTGTCGTTGTTCACTTGTTCGGTACATAGTATTCTCAGCATCCTCCTGTCAAAACAGGTTTCTGTTTCCTCAAGTCTCTTTTTCATTTGTGATGAATTTTTCTACATTCACTGACATATAAGAGGGCTAATATTGCATAACAGTTCAGTACTCTTTTTTTTGTTTCTAACGAATTTTTTCTGTTTCTTAATATTTTGCTTAGCTTTTGGAAGGCATCTTTCGCTATCTTGATGCGCCTTCGGATTTCGGTGTCGTAGTTTCCGTTCTTAGATATTTAAATTTTTCTACTTGCTTGATTTCGCTGTCTCCAATTTGTAATTTGCATTTTGGGCCATTTCTTTTTGCTGACAACCATACATTCTGTTTTACTACAACTGGTGATTAGTCCTTTCTTCTCGCTTTCCTTTATTACGTGGGGCTTAGAATAAGTAGGAGTTCCTCACTACATAGTCGTAATTAATCTTGCGAAACAAACTTGCTAAACACTAGACCAAGTTGGAGTGCCCCATAACTAAACGTAGCTTATATATGGCACAAGGCGGCAAGTATGGGGCACTTGTTGAGGATCGAACTCACTACTCAGTCATAAGTGATGTAGCAAAACAAGCTTGATAATCATTATACCACGTCGAAGTGCTATAAGCACTGTCTATAGTGATTTACCAAGCATAACATATGTGACACAAGACCGTAAGTAGTGAGTGCCCACTGAGGTTCGAACTCACCACTCAGCTGTAATTGACCTAGCTAGATCGAAGTGCCAACTCCTTAATAAAATAGTGATTTAGTGAGCATAGGTTAGATGTGGCACAAGGGCGCAAGTATAGAGCACCCAGTGAAAATCGAACTCTCTACTCACTCATAACTGATCCAGTGAGACAAGCTTGTTAACCATTACACCGCGTCGAAGTGCCCAAAGTATTGTCAAATCTCTATACAAATAAGTAGACCGAGAGTTAGAGCGTGTAATAGCCTGTTGATGTTGCCGGTTTAGACAGTAGTTATTTCTATTAATTTAATTCTCTACTCGGTGAAATGTAATAAAGTTGTCGTCCTCTAACACATATTGGTTGTACATTGATGAGATGTTATACAGGATGATTGAAAAGTAACTTCTTATTTTGTGTATGTGTGGCCAGCTACGAGCTCTGACTTAACACCCTGTGACATTTTTTGCGGTTAGTTAAAGGAGCAAGTCAACTATACAAAACCAAGACTTTGGAAGAA